CCTGGCACAATATGGTTCATGGGGTCACGAAGAGTCGGACACGACTTAACAACTGAACAACTACAACAACAATACATTCAGACTTATATATTCCTGAAACAGAGAAGAAAACATACAAGAGAGAAAGGATGCAGCAGACCAGAAGGTGCCTGAACAATTTCAGAACATCATTCAGCCTATTAGGTTCATGACTCTTTAATTTCCTTCTCACTACAGTACTAGATGCCTTGGGTCAGCATCCCAAGAGACACTGGCAGCTACATCACAGATTCAATATACATAGGCCTTGGCTTCCAACCACGCTCTTTTCAAAACAACTTAAGTGCCTTTTAATTGAACTGTAATGCAAAGGAACACTGCATTTTCTAACATAAAATATCAGAGCAGGTGGGAATTTGTAGACCCTCAAGACACATACATTTTGTAAATCAATACTGGTTAGCATCAGGACTGGCAACAGAACAGTTAAACTCAAAATGAGCGTTTATCTTTGGAATGCAGTGCTTCATAATTGAAGAAGGGAATGTGCAAAAAGTTCATGAATTGGGGCTTTTACAGAACTCATTACTGAAGAGTTATAAAAGCAGTGCTGGTTAAAAGTTGTTGTTAGCAAGGTAAAAAGCCTGAAAGCTGCATTACAATGGAGGCATAAGTAATATGTGATAACATGCTATCTGCAGAATGGTTCTTGCCTAAAAGTAAAATCAATTTGCTGGCAGCATGACCAACTATAAAAACCATGTAAATCATGAGTCCTGAACCAAGGACAGGAGAATTACAGAAATAAATTACTATTCCCTCAATCACCCTTAAAGAGGATTATAATTGTCCTGATTCATGATTTAGTTACATTTTAATAATGTACATTCTGGGTTAAAACAAGGTCTAATCCTCCTCGTTTAGTTTTCTAAACTCACAGCTATTCAATCTCCCTCAAGGCCTCTCATTTATCACTGTATACACTCACGTAAGTAGGAATGGAGGGATGCTAACAACCTGGCATTTATATACAATCCCAAGAACACTTGGAACGCTGCTCACCTGCTTTTCTGACTTGGAACACTGATTTTGCTTCCACTTTTATTTATTGTCAAAAGCCTCTCCAGTTAAATACAAATTTTCAACTGCTCCTCATCAAAGCCCTCTTTTTCATCCAAGTCCAAAACACTAATGACAGTTCTGAGTGAGCTACATTGTGCAAAAGCCCCCCAAGGCTGACTTTTAGGGTACCAAGGTAACTTCAGGTAGTTCCTGAATTATTGGCACACACAGCACAGCTCAGGAAAGATCCTGACTCTTGGGAAGAAGGGGACTCTACAATTATTTAGCATATCTGAGATACAGGAGCTCATCAAACATATGAGGAAAAGCACCACAATCCTTCCTTTCTAAGGCATAGGTAAAATGCCTTCCACTCCCTTGATAAGCAGTGAAATCTCGGGCGGGGGGGGAGGGAGGGAGAGGTAGTAGCTGAATTGCTAGTGACAACAATTGTCTCAGAAGCTGGACACTCTTTTTTCTTTTAATTCTTCCCCCCCCCCAAACTGAAAATAAATTAGGTAAAGAGGTTTGGGGCTCTCTCCATCAGCAGCATAACTCTCAAAACAGACCAGGACCAAATCTGGCGCAGAGAAGAAAACAGCAAAAGAAAGACTGAGCTTGAAAAACCACCCTCACCAATTCTACCAGTGTACCCTGATGGAAGAGGCCATTGGGCACACCTTGGAAGGCTCTATTTTAAGCCCCCTCCTTCCTGGTCATGTGACCCAGAGCTGAAGCTTTGCGGCCTGCCCAGGGTTTCCCAGTGCCCACAGACACATAAACACAACACAAGAGGAACGCAGAAACACGCACAGACACATTACCTCATCACAGGAAAAAATATAGATGCTTCCTACGGCCACTGATGGTAACAGGGTTGAAATTCCAAAAGCTATGTTCTGCATGCTTTCCCTCCCTTACTTTTAAATCAAGAGTCTCCTTGAGCTAAATATTGTAAAGAGGTTTCTGGATAGCTTGAAAATACTGTACTTTTGCTGTGAAAAGAGCTGCTATGAAAAAAGCACATGTGAGAAAAGGCAAACCAAGCTGACAGCTTTTCTAACAGATGCAAGTCCAAGATAACTTTAAGATATCATTCTGGCTTGTCTTTTCTAACAGGTATTGGTTTCATGAGAACATAAGCAAGACTTTGGATCAGACCAATCTGGTTATCTCTGGCCAACATTCTGTATTATTTCTGGCCAACAAGATGCATTCAGGAAGCTCAAGAAGATGAACATGAGAGTCACAGCTCTCTTCCAGAGCACAGAAGAGAGCATAGGCTTCCCATGATTCCAGAGGCAACACACACAACCCTTAGGAGTAGCTGCCACTGACAATCTGATTCACCATAAAGACAATCTGACCCTCATGGCAGTACACATATTTTGTCCCTGGCATCTCCCCAAAACTGACTCCTCAAATTACTATGGTTTGTGTGTTCTTTAAATAACATGTAAGCTGTGGCTCTAGCCCCATACCTCTGTTTAGCACTGGAGAGAGAGAGTTTTGACGGCTTCATTTGAACTAATGAAGTTTAGTCAAGTTCAGGGTCCAGATCATTCAGCTCTCTTGCTCCAAAGCTTTACCAAATTGTATCTTGATCCAACACCACAAGCACTACACAGAGCTTTCAAAATTGTCCCTAGAGAATGGGGACTTTGGTATAGTACAGCAGTGAATTGGGATTTGTATCTAATTGATAACGGTATGACTGCACACATGCTAAATCCTTTGATATTCAGAGCTGGGGGAAATGAGAGTCACATTTCTCAGGCACTGCAGGACAGTGAGCCAGGGTGTGTGAGTCGAGAATGTTGTGCTTTCTCAGAAACCACAGCCTCTATTGGTCATTTCTTCATATCTGCATCTTCCCATTAGCTGACCACAGTTCCTCTTTCCCTTCACAACTTCCAGAGTTAACCACAGGGCTGGGTGGCTTTTTATATTTGAAGCCCCCCCCCCAAAAAAAAGTTTCAGAGAACATCTGGATGTACATGTAGCACCTACCTGTAACTCAATAGACTAAATATGTATTTTTCCACAATTGTTTGCAGCTGACTGGTGCTACATGAGCATCTTTGCAGACGTCAAATCATCTTTATGTCTTCCAGTCCAAAACACTGCAGTGTCCTAACAGGAATAGTCAGGGATGTACCAATTCAGGTCCAATGGTCATGTGTCACTCCCTCAAATTTGGGCACACCCTTCCAAAAGTTGCTGTTGACAGAAGGGGACAATTATTAAATATTAATAACACATGGCTCTTGCTGACTTAAAATATATAATTAAAAATACAATCATAAAATCCATAAAAATCTAAGATTAGTTTTCGTATCTACAATTGAGACCTAAATACACCTGCACTGGTGGAGAAGAAGAGTCTTAGAATAATCCCAACATTCTTTTTTCATCCAAAATTAAGTACTAACAGACTTCCAGAAGAACTTGAACTACGACCTCTAATAATTTTATGTGCAGCTTTTCATTCACCTCTGGCATGGCATGAGAAGAACTGAAGATCATATTACTGAGTTAGATAAAGCAATTTTCAGCATGATGTCCAGACAGTAATCTATAGTTTGGCTAATTAATTTATGTTTGCATACCACCATAATCAGCATGATGAGTCTTAGCAGTTTACAACCATCATAACAATGTAAACTGCCAATTCACGTCAATAAAATGATAGTAAAAACAGCAAAGAAAATTACTAAGCAAGTTACTCAAAAGCCAATAAAAAAAGATAGGCACCAACCACAACGTTTGTCCCCAAAGGGTTTTTGGAAGAGATCTGTTTAACAGCCTTACAAAATGATGCATTGAAACAAACCAGCTTCATAAACCAAGGCTTCAATTTGGTACAGTTTAGCAAGCTGTGGTTAAAAATCACACTTCCTTTCCCAGATCCTACGTGTCATACAAGTTATTCATCCAGAAAAGGAACTAAAACAAATCTGGAGGGAGTGCAAACACTGGTGGCCAGTTTGCACAACATATTACGCTATATTGTGGTAGGAAGCAGGGATAGCTACACAACAGTTCTATTTCTGTAAACATGCCTTTGCTGGATTATTTTAAACAACGAGACAGCTGGGGAAAACTTAACTTTCCTCAATTTACTCATAGTAGCTACAGTTCCAAGTAAGCCGCCACACCTAGCCACCATGACACTGGCTGGAATATCAGCATGGGGGATTAGCAAATTGTCTCCAAGAACCATTTGCCATGTTACCTGGCGAGACACCCTCATCATTTATACTTACCGTTATCTCATGGTCAAATCACCCAGTCATGGTTTTATAGAGAACAGATTTTTTTTCAGGGAGAGGACATCGTTTTGTATAATGCAGTTGCAGACAGAAATATTGTAAAACTAAATATTTTAACATGTAAGTTCAACAAAAAAGTAAAATTTAAAATGATGTTTGAAAAAATTAAGGGGTCACACTCTCATGAGATCATTCATGAGAACATAGAAATATAATGAGATTGAGTTATTTTATGAAATATTTGTCACCTTACATTTTATCAAATATATTTGTTTAACTGCATTTATAAGCTGCCCCAACCTAACTGACTGTGGGCAATGTACAGGAGCAAACTAAGACAGAATATCTTGACAATTAAAACATTCCAACCACATAAATAATCAAAATACTAAGAAAACAAAGCAAACAATACCGTACAATAAATGCCATTAAAAAAAACACTGTTTTAAGGGCCTTCCTGAATAAAAGGAGGGCAGGGGCCAATCATACCACTGACAGGAGAATAGTTCCTACTATGAGAACTACTACCAAGCAGTAGTTCAGAGCCCTCTGACTTCCTGTGGTGGCAAGGTGAATTCTGTAGCAGGCTTTCCCTTGATTTTTAGACCAGACAGGCAGAATCATTCTTGGCAAGGCAAGAATACATCCCCACCCTTCACCGGAGTGATTACCAGCACTTTGAGTTAGGCCCCAGTAGTTTACTGGCAGCCAAGACAGATCCTATTTTGCAGTAACAGATTTCTTCAACAACTGCAGCAGTCTGGTTGCTTCATTTCTGTACAAGTTATAGGTTCCAGGTCATCTTCAAAGGCAGCTGAATGTACATGTTGCAACAGTCCAGTTGTGAAGTTATAGAGTATAAGCTAATGTTGCTAGTGCATCGTAGTTAAGGCAGAGCTGCAACTGGCATACCAACCAAACCTAGGCAAAGGACATTCAAGTTATTGCTTCCACCTACTGATCCAGCAAGAGTTGTGAGTCCAGGAGGACCCCCAAGTCACAGACCAACACCTTCAGCTCCTTGACCCAATTAAGAGCAAATACTGCAACTGATGTTAGCTGATAAGCCCAACGTTTACAGTCATACTGTACTTCTATCTTGCTAGGTTGAATCTGAGCTTGTTTCCCTCACCCACACCCTAGGAGCATCCAGACACTGATTCAAACTATCTATGGGATTTCAAGGTTTGCATGGGGTGGCAATGTAAATCAGAATATTGATGACATCTCATTCCAACCTGATGGATGACCTCTCTCATATAACTAATGTGAGGAAGGAGCCAAGTCCTGCAAGAACTCATAATGGTGCACCCAAGGGCTCAATCACTGTTTCCCCATGATCCTTGACTGGACAGCTTACTCAGATAGCAGTGAAACTAATATAGTATGGTGGCTCCTACTCCCAACCATTTCAGGCAGTCCAAAAGGATATCATGGTCAATGGTATTAAATGTTGCCTAGATGTCCAAAAGGAGGGCTACAGTCCCTCATCCAGGTCCTAACAAAGGTAATCTATTAGAATGACTAATGTAGTTAGTCCGATTTTTAGTCAGGCCTCTGCAGTGCAACCCACATCACTTTTTCAACCATCTTCCCTACATAGGGATCACAGGCAAGAAATTTATCAAATATGGCTAGATTGACAAGCAGTCTCTTCAAAAGGGGGGGGGTGTGCAACACTGCCTCCTTCAAGGCTAGTAGCATCACACCCCATCTCAAAGAACCATTTGCTACCCCAACGTAACTGACAACCTAAATCCAGCCGCACATGCCCCGCCTGGAAGAACCAGGAGGGGCGCAGATCTAGCCAACAGGTAGAGGAGCTCATATTGCTGAGGTCCTTGTCCACTTCCTTACATTCCATAAGCTCAAAACAATCCCAAGTTGAAATGCAAGACACTCCCCTCTAACACTCCAAGCCCACTTTACACATGTGTGTGGTCTCATGTGCCCTTAAATGTTCACAAGTAAAAGCACATCCCCTGACAACATTTTCTTAGTCCTATTTTAGGGAACAGTCTCTCAAAAATTAATTCATTTCATACTTCTGATTGACTTATTTCTAAAGATAGGCTATTCATCTCTTTAACTCCAAATCAGAATAGACAATGAGAAACAATACAATATACAACCATGTTGTTACCTGTTTCTCAACAAATATTATCCTAACCCTAAATTTTAAGTAATATTTTGGTAACATATATGTCTGAGAAGTCCTACTAGATCAAATTAAACAATATTATTGCCTGCCTTCTTTTGTACGCATTTAACTTTCCACAGCTGAATCCATCAACAGCTTCACTGTGAGGCATTGCATTTGACAGCAGTTGCTTGGCAACGAAATTAGTAGTTTTCTCCATAGTACCTGTGGTGCTTGCATTCTCAAATTTTGGTAGAATTCAGTGATATACAACTTCACTTGGTCAAATATATAAAACAATCCAAGCAATTGCTCAAAAGTAATGGTGCAAAATACTTGCACTAATGGAAAGTTGTAGCTAAGAGTATACACACTTATTGGTGTTCATGTTCTACTGAACTAAACGGGATTTAATTCTGAATAAACATATATATAAAACAGAGCTGTGCAAGTTAAACAAGGAATTTCTCGAATCTCATTTCCTGTGCAATAGTATATACCTGGAACTAAATGGGATTAAACTTAATGGTGTTTACTTCTAAGCAGACATGTGCATAGGGCTGAACCATTGATGGTCACTGGCAACTCATCTCAGCCTTACATCTCCTCCTTCCTACAAAAGCGTTCAGATACAAAGGTATTCTACACCTCAACAAAGGCAGACAATTATTAATGAAAAAAATACTATTTTGAACAACCATACTGTACATTAATGGGTCAAATCCTGCTTATTTGCAATAGGCTCAAACATGTTTTCAACTCTTTAACGGAAGGATTATACACATTCCTTTTCAGCCTTTTTAGACAGATAGTTTCCATTATCGTCTGTTTACAGCATTTTGGGTAATGGGGAGGAAAACCAGGTTCTTCTATTGGGTAATGCTAGTCAATTTTTCTACAACCAGGTTAAATTAATGAAACAGAAAACCATATTGTTTGTGCATGGTCATAAACCTATACTTGATAGCTGTTGTAAATGGGAGTAGCAGGCAATAGGACTATTTAAATTGCTTCCCCGGACCTTCAAAGGAAGAGAGAAGAATTCAATATTCTACTAATTAATTATGCTTCCTCCTCTGCATGTTAATGGATATAGCAACATTTAAAGATTATTTTTTTAATTTATTCAATTTGTATAGTTACCCATTCAACATATGAGTCAGAGAGGCAACAGCAAATAACTACAAAATATGAAATATAATATACAGTAGTGTAATAAAACATGTTGCACCAGAGGCAGTTGAAATCACCAAAGACAAGGCGGGCTCCCAAGGCCACATGACCTAGAAGAAAAAACAGGTCTTTAGAGCCTTTCAAAAGGCAGGCAGGGTTGGGGCCATCCAGATCTCAAGGAGGAATGCCGTTCCACAGGCCAGCCATGGCAATGGAGAAGGCATTATTACATGGTCCTACCCAATGACACTACTTAATTGATGGGACTTGGAGCATGCCAACCCTGTCAGATTTTATTAGACAGGCAAAGGTAATCAGAGGTAATATACTTCTTTGCTATATAAAACATTTATATTAAGTTGTAAAATTACATTTTTAAAAGTAATTTCAAAAATATTAGGTGAGTTGGATTTTATATTTCATTATGCTTCCAAACTACATTTATCTATTATGCTGTTTTCTAAAATCTATGTCAGGGATCAAATCAAAATCTCTAACCTGAATCAAATCAGGCAGAAAATGTACAGCCAAACCAGTTCCCTACAGATATGAGTTCCCTGCACAGATGGTAGTTAATTAGGATATAAAAGGCACTGAAGACCAGGTCTCTTTTGAGGAAGAGCAACTGCTCCAAA